AAAATAAATCTAGGGCTCCAAATGTATCCATGGGTTCAAATAAAGCTCCCTTTTATAACAAATCAGGGCTTTTTAGATAGCAATTCCTCTGAATTAGTTTTGCCAAAAATAGATTTGTATCAGGTCCTTACTGCTGACCACCCCTTGTCTCATTTGATTTATAAATTGCACAAAAATTTCTAACAAATCACATTCCAGTCTAACCACAGGCTCCTGTTGGTCGTTGTAAGCGTGTGGAGAGCAAATGTTTCTCCCCCGAATCAGCAGAAGATTACTGACTCCAACGTTTTTGCCCCTGTCAGTGCTTGCCCCTGCATTTAAAAAGAAGAAAATAGGGTTGGGGGGGGGGGAAGAGGAGAAAATTGGTGATTAGATATTACTTAACTTGACATTTTAATGATTCTTCTAGCTTCTTTGACAAACAATGCCTTTACTAAACCTACCAATTTTGCAGTTGCTTACTTAGTATAATAGGGATTGGAGTGATTTTAAAATGTATGTCCATTTAAAGATGGACCTAAAATTAGACTCAAGCAGCAGGTATTTCTTAATAGGTTACAATAAAGTGACCCACCATAAAAATTAACTCAAACTTTGGAAAAGCCATTAATGCCTTTTTAAAAAAAGAAAATTTGGTAAGCAAACATGGGTACGTGTGTGAGAGAAAGGTCAAAAACTGTGATTGAGGATTAATATTTAGACTCAAAGAGCAAAAAGAAAACACTTGAAGAAAATAGTCTGGTATTTTCAAAGGACCTAGAGGCGCTGGCCATTCTAATTGCATTGAAAGCCAATGAGAATTGGGTACCAACTCCCATTTGTCTTTGAAAATCACCCCACCCACATAGTTTGACTATTGTTATTGCTAAATATAAAATAAAATGGCACCTGTCTTTGTTGTAACATTTATCATATGATCATACCACAGCTCTTGCCCTGTCGGGACCACATTTCTAGTCCAGGGGTGGGCAATCTGCGGCCACGGGGAGCTGCGGGCAGCCATGCCTGCGGACAGTCAGTGTAAACAAACTGTCTCGCAGCCCACCAGTGGATTACCCTGACAGGCTGCAGGTTGCCCACCACTGCGTTAGAGATTCAAGGGGAGATTATGGACTTGTGGACCAAGGCATTGTACTTTCATAATGGAGGCTCAGTTCTTGAGAATAGATTCTGTATGTTGGCTTTGCAGGTCTGAACTGGAACAAAAGCACATATCCGAAATATCACAGGCCGTCTGCCAAACCATGGTATGTTGTCCAGTTGACTTTACTTAAAGCAGCAGAGCTCAGCTTGTTTTGTGTCTCTTCCATGGCTAGTTCTGAATTTGAGTTCTCCACACTTGATCATCATTCTAAATGAACCTTTTACATTTTACTTCTTCTTCCCGTTAAAATGTGGTTTCTGTGGGATCCATAATTTTAACTTTTTTCCATTATAGAATTGTTTGCATTTCAGTGGAAGAGTTGTGCTAAATTGGTTTAGCCGTCAGGTGGCTGGAGGGATGTTTTCAGCTCTATTCTGAAATGTATTTTTCCATCAGCTGCTTCTTGCTTTAGGATTTTTCCTTTTGCAGACTTCAGTTGTTGAAACTGTTAGAGCTGGGTTAATAGGAAGATGTGTATTTGAGACAATTAAGGCACTCAAGAGATGGCAACACTTGTTAAAAGTTCTGAGGGAACCTAGGCTATTAATTGTGGCAAGTTGTTAAACAGTGAATAGGGGTTGTGTGTGTGGGTGGTTTGCTTTTATAACAATTATCCTTAGCAGAGCCCCCCTATTACATTTTCTTTGTCTTCACTTGCTGTGCTCTAAGTTAAAATGTAGGCTTCTCCAGGCAGGGACCTATCTTAAATTGTCCGCCAGCCTTCATTTCAAAATCTCGGCCTTCGAGATAATGGTAATTTCACTTATGGAACTATGGCAGAGGGCATTACTGTGCTGGCAATTGTACTTTTTTTCTTATATTGCTATAAGATTGAAACTAACCGGTTCTGCCACTTGCAGTCTTTCATCACAGCTGGCCACAGTTACATTATACTGTGGTATGTCTTCCAAATTTTGTGGAACTGAAAATTGTACTTCTTGATTCACACACCATATCTCTGACAACCTTGGCAATGAATTTGCCCTTACCCTCAAGAGACCATGAGCAATGGCACTTGACTTTGGGGTTTTCCTCCATGCAAATTTCCAGCTGAGGAGAATTATGTTGCAGATTTGAATAGCTGGAGTTTACAGCTTGAGGCACAAGGCCTTAAAAGGTCTTTTAATCCATGAAGCTATCTGGGTATAGGAGGGAAAAAATCAAGATTCTTTGAAATTTTAGGGCATATCAAGGAAGGGATGATCTTATGATTGTCACTGGTCGAGGACTCAAGATCTAGATTCAATTCCCAGCTCTGCAACTGACTTGCTGTTTGACCTTGGAAAAGTCACTTAATCTTTTCTTGTGTTGGTTCTCCATGTAGAAAAAGGGGATACTTTCTTTGTCTTTCCCTTTATCTGTCTTGTCTGTTTAGATTGTAAACTCTTTGGGGCAGGGACTCTCTCTTACTATGGATACATACAGGGTCCAGCCTAAGAGACCTCTAGACAGTACTGCAATACAGATAATTAGTAATTTTTCAGCCGTCTGCAGTGTCTTTGCCCTACAGAATCAGAACAATTATTTGGTATTTAACAGGTCTGAATCTGCTCTCCCATTGGCTTTACTTCAGTGCAATTCCTTTGATGGAATTGCTCCTAATTTCTCATGAAATCAGAACTATAACTTTATTTAAATAATAACAGAAAGTAGTTCAAGTTAGTGCCTATTGAGCGTTAGGTCAGTCTCCCAACAAAAGAACAAGGAGAGGTACAGGTAAAAGAATTGGCGTGACAGCAAAGTGGGAATTTTCTTACTTGTTACAGTGGTCTAGAACTGAATAGCCTCTGACTGATAGCCAAAGTTACCAATTGAAAATTAAAATAGACCAGATATTTTCTCAGTGGGCCTTTCCCACTATTTCATATCCCTAAAATAACTTGCTACATATACTAAATTTTGTAATTCCATTGTTCCAGTCGGTTCAGAGAAACTGCTAATATTGACAAGAGTGAACCCAATGAAAAACCACCTCCCAGTGTCTAGAAAAGAATTCAGTAAGCTGCTCATTCTCATAGATATTTAAGGTCAGAGTGATCTTCTACTCTGACTTCTTTGCCTAACACAGCCCATAAAATTTCACTCAGTAATTCCTGCAACAAGCCCATAAACTCTCCTAAATAGTCCCTGGTCTCTGTATTAAAATCAATTTTAAAATACCGCATAAAGGGAAATAGAGCTGTCCAAGCAGTAGGTGTGCATCAAGAGCTTTCCTTTCCCATTATCATTACATTCACAGATTTATTCGTTGTATAATAAATGTAATTTCGATTTGATTTTTGTACTGTGATTCCCTGCTGCTCTAATAGACCATGACTCACTTAAGGAAGAAACATAGAGGAAAATTGTTGACAGAATATCTCCCAAAACGATGACAAAAACCCAGCATGTAATTAATAGCAGAAGCTAAAGACTGAGCAATACTTGCTGTGTATGTAAACACAATTGATTATGAATTTATTCTGGTAAGGCTAAGGCTTTGGGTGAAATTAAGTTATTTTTATTAAAACAGATTTTTTGCAAACTTTCTAAACAGTTTATACAGTTTAAGCATGTTGCTGAAACACAGATGTTGGAAGGTGATTTTTAAGCTCATTCTTTGTTTTGAAACGCCTGATGTCCAGCATAACGATAAATCTGAACTATTTGCACAGTTTTATAGTAATGTTACTATTTTATAGTCCTACAATGGCAGTTTGTGCCATTATTTAACTGTATTGCACTTCAGTTCTTGTACACACTTGAAGCCATCTGTACCTGAGATCTGGTCTCAATAAAACACGTTTGTAACCTTTAACAGAAGGCAGAGTCCGTGAGTCAACTTAATTCTATTAATAATGATACTTGGCACTTGCACAACAGTTGAGCTTTAAAGCACTTTACAAACAATCTTCTGAGCACCTCAGTCAGCCCGTTCCCATTTTAGACATTGGAAACTGAAGCAGAAAGACTGTGACTTGCACAAGGGATGGCTGACGTACTAATTGATGTCTTAAGAAAAGAGTGGAGAGAAGGGGAGGAACACTTCAAAATACTGTCAAGCCCAACTAGGCTCAAAACCTAGGTTTTGTAAAACCTGTTTTTGCAAAACTGAAATCAGTAGAAATGCTTTTATGGGATCTTTTTTAAAATATTTGAAATAACTGCATTGTTGTTGTTAGTATGTAAGGATTCCTTTTCGGTATTTGTATCTCAAACATTGCTGCTCTGTGTCAATTCATGAGAAACGGAAAGACTATTCAGCTTCGTTATTAATTGCTCGTGTAGAATGAAATGGAAAAAAAAATTGGTTAAAAGTATACTTTGATTTTTTTTTTTTTAAAGTTCTTCCAGTGTTAAGTCTACAGTAACACAGGCAAGGAAACGTGTATTTTAACTTCATAGTCTCTTAAAACTGAAACAGGAGCACTTTAGGTCTTCTCATGTTTGGAATTGGAGGTTTATTTACAGCGGAGTCGCATCATAGGCGTATATAACTTGCGCGATTTTAACTATACACACTCGGCAAAAAAAAAAGAGAAAAATAACAATTTAAATACTGTACCTGTAGTGTGGGCGATTTCGCCTACCATTCCACTCAATGAGCATTTGACTATACGTAATTTTCGCCTTACGCGCTGACTTCAGAACCTAACCCCCGCGTAAGAAGCGACTCCTCTGTACTTACATGCATCGGAAGGCTAAGACCATTGTATACGACATTATATACTATATCTGTCAAGTGTGGAAGTCCATTTCCTGTATGCATTTTGTGTCCTGATAGGTTTCCTACTAGCAATATTATTTAAGGTAAAGCTAACTCTTGTTTAATGCACACAAAATGTACTAAAATGTTCTTGTCTGATATATTTTTCAGGGTCCACACATAGCATCAGTTACACTTGCTGCGTATGAATGTAACTCAGTTAATTTTCCTGAACCACCGTACCCTGATCAAATTATCTGTCCTGATGAGGAGGGGATTGAAGGATCCATCTCTTTATGGACCATAATCTCAAAAGTCAGGCTAGAGGCCTGCATGTGGGTAAGGTTTAACTTATACAATTTTACCTAAAACAAACAAAGCAATGCTGGCTTTTGCTGACAGCAGTAACATGTAACTATTCACGTTGGAGGCATGATTTGCTGATTCACTTTAGATGTCTGTATTAGATCTGAACATCTTCAAAATGGATTAAACAGAAGCACTTGAAAATGGTTGAGTCAATTATCAGCTCCAGGATTGGAGTAAAGTTGGGGAAAAAAAGAAATCTTCTATTTTGTTAAAAGAATTTCTTCTGTAGAATCCTATAAAAATCACCTCTGTTTCCAAACTGTTTTTTCTAGGTACTTTAGGAGAAAATGCATGAAATTTTTGAGAAACTCAGTGCAAAAGACAAGTTTTTTGAAAGATTCATTGCCCCAGCTGCGCTTGCAGATTAAGGGCTGAATCCTGCAAGCAGTGAGGCAAGTGAGTGACTTCACTCTCATGAATACTCCCTTCGAAGTCCATGGGCATGTTCAAGTGAATGAAGTTATTCATCTGTGTTGGAAGGATCAGGTCCTAATGTTGTAGCAGATGCCCTGATCTTGGGGTTGCATCAGTTTTCTGTTGAGTTGCATGTAGCCTGTTCACATGTTACGCATTGAAATTAAAAATCCATGTTTTCCCGATGAAAACATTCACTTATAAGTAGGGTGACCAGACAACAAATGTGAAAAATTGGGATGGGGATGGGGGGTAATAGGAGCCTATATCAGACCCCAAAATCGAGACTGTCCCTATAAAATCAGGACATCTGGTCACCCTACTTATAAGGCAAAAAAGAAAAAAAAGTTAGCTGCTAAACACGGAAGTACTCTTAGGACAGGGATTTAGTGAGGTGGATGTGGGTGCTTGTCACTGGAAATGTACTCCAATCTTACTTTAGTGTTCACTTTAGACTTTTTGAAATTTGTTTACTGAAGAATATTGGTCAGCTAAGATGTTTTTTCCCATAAAATATAAACTATTTTGAACTGAAACTTACACAAACACATCTGTTATGAACTGCTTTTATGCCAAGAGGCTTCATTTTATCACTGATGACTTCCTGTTCTGACCGTTGGTTTAATTATTAAATACTTGGTTCTCCAATTCAGACGTGGGGGATGGAATGGGATCCCTATAGTATATGATATCTAATCTTTTCTATCTTGTTTCTGGAAGCCTGTCAGGTGTGAAAATAACCCATAATAGACTTTATATTTTGGTTATTACAGTTTTAAAACTTGTCAGTGACCCTATCTCCAACAAAGAAGTTATATGTAGATCATACACATTACAGGTATATAAGGACAGTGTAAAAATACTTACAAAAAATCTTACAAGGAAAGAACTGCAAACTCCCAGCCCTCTCAAAAACAAATACAATATACATTTTTAATGTTTCCTTTTGCTAACTAGAGAGCAAAATTCCATAAATGTTTTAATGTTCGAAAAATAAGTACAATTAACTGAAAATCTTCCACAAACAAGCATCTATAAGACAGTAAGTTCAGGATCTCTTTAATTTTTCCCCACTGCTCTACATCATAGTCTTCATGAAGTTGGAGCGATAAGAATATCATTTAAAATGAAGTTCTAGGGTTGCAAGGAAAATGTAGCTCAAGATAAATGTGCTTGCTGCACCACTTTGTTAATGTATAAAATTACTGACCTAACTGAAAATTAAGCAGCTTAGACAGAAATGTACACACAGTTGCATGCCTTGCAACTGATTGATTGTACCCTATCTTGAGACGAGAGAGAGAGAGAGAACAAGAGGTACTGTCTCAGGCCTTCCTTTGTGCTGCTTGCTGGTTCAGACCAGGGGAATTACAAGACTACCTGAGCAAACCAAAATGTTTTGTGTAATCTCCTCTTTCTTCCTACCCTCCTCCAAATATATTGCCAGCTACCTTTTTATTGAACTTTGTGGTAGATTTCCTCATGGGAGCATCTTCAATCTGCCACTGGTGTCTACTATAATGTTATGCTTTCTTGGACTGTTCCATGAGTACCTAAACATTGCTTATTAATTTCCTGTAGGTCAAATCAAATTGGCAGCTGTGCTGCTGCTTCCATTGTTTTTCTTTTGTCTTTACTCCAGTTTGCTTTTATAGAAACCACTGAAGAATTCTTGGTCCTATCACTGTTAAATCCAACATCCTTTTATGTGGAACACAATACTCAATTCCTGAAAAGGAAGTAAATGGACCGACGATTTTAGTAACTCAAAATCTGACAAATAAATAGCAATATTAATTTTTCTCCTTGCAAACTGAAACCAAGAATAGTAGGTTGAATTTTATTAGTGTTTGAGTATGGGAAACTAACTCATGAAAACTAAAATGTTATGAACCACCAAGTTCTAGTAATCTCTAAAACCTGAAATTGTCAATAAAGCTGTTTAAAATTCAAACACAAAGGGGCTATTAGAGGGAGCCTTTTGCATTGTCTAATTCTCAGGTTCCCCGGCTCGTTGGGTGAGCAGGGACCGGAAGTGTTGCTGACAGCATCCTGGTGCCCAATGAGGGAGTGAAGCAACATTACTAAACCCTAATTTCCTTTAGACAATTAGTGTGTAACCATGTGGAGTGGATCCTGGCCCATCCTTTTTGATCAAAAGGTGACAATCAGTATAAAATGGGCCTCACCAGTCCTGGTTGCAGAAGGTGTTTTGAAAGGGCTTTCAGCCTGCTGGGGGATAGGCCAATTTTCAGAGCCTTCCACCTCACAGAAGCTAGGAATTGAATAGCACTTTAAATGTGTTGCATCTCTTTTGTGTTTTTTATTAGAAATTATCTGAAAAGGTAAAAATGTATAATCTCTCAGGATTGGCAGAACAGGCAGTCTGTGTCTTGACCAGGATAAAGTTTAAAAGAAGCTTTCTAGATATGACTAGTTTCCCATTTTTAACTGTATGTATTTGTGCAAAAGAATATTGATTAGCGTTTGCCTTTCTAATTCCTTGTTGATCTAGGGGAACTCTAAGCAAATATCAGATGGAAATTTTAACAGTAAGAGTAAACAGCCATGTTTGCAAAAGATAGTATATAGTTGTTGGTTTGGATTACTTAAATGCTTCCTTTTTTTTTACATATTAAGGCAATCTGTCTTGAGTAGACATGGAATCATATGATCTCGTTGTACTTTCGAGCTGTTTTGTAACAAAGACCTTGTGATTTAACCAGGGGTGAAAGTAACTTAAAGGACTTACCGCTATCCCAGAGGTCTGAGCAGGGGGCGTGGCCTCAACCGAAAGAGGCGTGGCCTCAACTGGTAGAGGCGGGGCCTTTAAATACCCAGGCCCTTTACATCAAGTTTTAAAGGTCCAGGGGCTCCAGCTGTGGCTGGGAGCCCTGGGGCCTTTAAATCACCCCCAGAGCTACCAGCTGCAGAGGCAGCTGGGAGCCCCAGGGCTCAGGGGCAATTTAAAGGGCCCGGGGTTCCAGCCGCCGCTACCACAGCGGAGCCCCTGGCCCTTTAAATCACCACCGGAGCCCTGCCGCCGCTACCACGGGGCTCCAGCAGCGGGGCTCGGGAGGCAATTTTAAGGGCCCAGGGCTCTGGCTGCTGCAGGGAGCCCCTGGCCCTTTAAATCACCGCCGGAGCCCTGCTGCCGCTACCATGGAGCTCCGGCAGCGGGGCTTGGGCGGCGATTTAAAGGGCCCAGGGTTCCCCGCAGCAGCCGGAGTCCTGGGTCCTTTAAATCACTGCCAGATCACTGCTACCGCTACCCCAGGGCTCTGGCGGCAATTTAATGGGCCCGGGGCTCTGGCCACTGCAGGGAGCCCTGGGCCCTTTAAATCGCCAGTGCCGGTACGCCGTATCGGACCACACTGGCTTACTTTCACCTCTGGATTTAACCAGTTTAAGGAAAGTTCATTTCTAGTACACACATGTGAACCTTTCCTTCATTAACAAAATGAAGCCAAGCAAATTGGCACATAGTTGTGAAGCAAACATTACTTCTGTTGTTCTTGCATCACCTTGAGAACATAATCCCAAATTATTTTTTCTGAAAAATAGCTATAACTCTTTCCAAGCTTAGCTTTCCATGTATCAGAAATAGACAGGCTAACGATGTTTTGGTGGTGTCATATTCATGCAAATTTGTTACACACGTGGACAATAGGAAGACAAACATTTGAGGATGTGTGTGTATACACTACACAAACAGGGAGTTTGATTTTAAACACTATAAAAATACATTAGTTGTACTATTACCCAAACTCAATCTGTTGATTTAGAATATACAAAGCAGCTGGGATTCTCCCCTACATACAGTTGCTTCCAGAATATGAACAAAGGAAACTGAAGGGCTTTATGCTGCTTGAAAGGAATATAAAAGCATTTGTCACTTGCTAATGGTTCTTAGTAAGAATGGACATCTGCGTGTGGCTAAGGTTTAGCACTTTTCCAACAAAGCGCCCAACTATTGTGCTATTACCTGTTCCATGTTTTAAACCATTTGCATTTAATCCAAGTTCCTGTTTCATTATCCTCTGTTTATCCGTATGTCTAATACTGATTTTTAAAAAAAACTAAAGCTTTATTTACCCACAAGGCTGAAATGAGTCATTTGATGTCCCGAGAAAACCAATCATTTTCCTGCAGTGTAAAGGCAATCCTACTCTGATTCTTATTTCTCTTGGCTTTCTTGACCCCATTTTGTGGACAGATAAAATACTAGATAAGTTACGGTCTGCTCAGCGATATTTTCATTTGCTCAAACTGTAGTAGAACTTGAGGCAATGTTTTCCAATAAACAAGTGTGCCAAGTCTCAGGACCGACAATTCAACTATATTACAACTCTACAGAATTATAGTTTGGGTGCGGGGGAGAATCCATGTGGCTAAACTAAGAGAGGGAAAAATGTAGTTTTCTCAGGATAACTTAGATAACATTTGAAGCTGGGAGAACTTTGTGTAGCTGGTAACAATAATAAGCTTCCATTGGAAACAAGTGACTCCTGCAGTTCTGGTGGGATTAACCTTATATGTATTTGTAACTCTTATTATGAGTATTTTTTTTAACTTTTCAAGAAAAATTGTGAACATCAGTTGAGCTATTTTAAAGAGCTCTAATCAAGAACAATAAAATTAAAATCATTATTCTCTTCCCAGGGTGCTGGCACAGCTATTGGAGAGCTGCCTCCTTATTTCATGGCCAGAGCAGCCCGACTCTCTGGTGCTGAACCTGATGATGAAGAGTATCAGGAATTTGAGGAGATGCTGGAACATGCAGAGGCTGCACAAGTAAGAACACTGCAAAACATTAGAATGCATTTAATTATCACAGAACACAGCAAGATTAAGATGCAGCGGACAACAGTTCCACTGAAACAAACATGCAAGAAAGCAGCCAACGTGACTTTGTGAGGGGCTGCCCATAGGTTAGAAAAGAACCTGCACTGGATACAGAGACATGTGGAGAAAACCAAACAAGAATTTATAGTCCGTTAAGGCAGGGATATGTTAATGTAGACAAAAAAATTAAGGCAAACAATGGCTTTTACAAATACAAAAAAGTTCTACAAATATAGCAAAGGAAGCATTAGAGGGAAGGTGAGGCCCACTAATAAGTGATGTAGGAGTCATCAAACCAACTGTGATTATGAAATAGCTGAACTGCCAAACTGTTTCTTAAATCTCTCTTAACGAGGAGATAATCGCCAGCCAACTTGTTTTCACTGGATAATACTCACCTGCCTTGCCACTAGCCGTTTGTGCTGCCAGTGTCTTGGCCGATTTAACAACCTGAGGAAACATATTCTTCCTGATGTTGAAAAGCAACCAAGCTGCTTTGAATCTTTTTGTTCTTAGCCTTTTTCAATTCAGTTTTATTGATAGATATATTACAACTTGCATTGCCCCATATTAGATCTTAATTGACTGTTAAAAGCTTTCTGTTCAGGTCAGCAGTCTGTGTGTGCCTTAGTTCAGAAATTATTTAGTTTCTAAATGTACAATTCTGGGGGGGGGGGGGGGGGGAATTCTCAAAAATGTCTTGCTGCTGAATTTCTCCTTTGTATTCTGCTTCCTTTTTACTCCTGTTTGTCTACTAAACCACTAGGTGGAAGTGGGTCACGATAGATTTTTATATGAAGGAATCAAGCTAATGCTATCTACTATGCACAGAAAAAGAGTTTACACTGCTTTCTCTTTGACCAACCCTTTACTGTAGCAAAAAAAACAAACAAACAAAAAAAAACCACACTCACCCCAGTCTTGACTTTTAAGAAGTATAAATGTTTCTTACCCTCTCTTTTGATAAGTTATTGCATGCAGGAAAAAGTAGTCCAAAGAGAGAGAGCATTTGAATAAACCCAAGAATCTCTCTGAAAAATATTCTTCTGAAAACAGCCTTAGGTTTCCTTGGACTTGTCTGCAAACATTAATTCTAGTCTAATAATGTTAATGATAGTATTTAATGCTATCTAACTTGCCAGCACTTCAGGACAAGCACCTCATCGTAATACCTATTCAGGAAAATGCCTAGCACATTGGCACTAGATAAATAATTATAGTAAATTAAAAGATCCATCTTTTATAGGCATATGGCCAAAAATTCTCCTATTTTGACTTTTGCCCCATTGCTAGGTGTTAATTTTACAAACCAATCCTTGATCTATATACATATTTTAAAAAATCCCAGCAAAACACAAAGCCAGTCAAATACATGACTCGGAACTGAACTACTGTCCGTATTTATTTACTGGTTTCAGAGTAGCAGCCGTGTTAGTCTGTATCCGCAAAAAGAAGAGGAGTACTTGTGGCACCTTAGAGACTAACAAATTTATTAGAGCATAAGCTTTCGTGGACTACAGCCCACTTCTTCGGATCAAAGAAGTGGGCTGTAGTCCACGAAAGCTTATTCTCTAATAATTTTGTTAGTCTCTAAGGTGTCACAAGTACTCCTGTACTATTTATTTACTGTGACTCTCCCAGCAAGTTATGTGAGATTTTTAAAGTTCTGGGTGCAGCCAAGATTGGTTTCCAAAATGCATGGTAGGATTCTTGAGTACAAAACCTTTGCTAGTGAGAACCTTGTCAAGATAGACCAAAAATACCCTTAACTACAATGACTGTGTGATTGGTGAACAAATGAAATTGTGTCATTCATTGAGAATAAATAACATTGTATTTATTTGCGCTTTGATTTCATTTTCTCAGCAATTGAGTTTGGATTGAAGCACATTGTTTTGAGGATGACATTTCTTAAAACTTGACTTGCAATTTGATTCCTATAAGACACTCCAGCGTGAGGCTATGACAATCTGATTAAATTGTAGTATGGTTATAAAACTAATAGTTCAGTATTTAAGATTGGACGGTATTTTCCACTCACTAATATGACTTCCTTTGTGCTTTTGGCTTTCTATCATGTTTTTGTTAGATGTCTGTGAGAGGCACGCATGAATGTCTCATCCTATGGCCTTGAGCAAATCCTGGCATCGTTTGCAAAAGTGAAGCTTTGTCGCTATTTGCACTGCACAATCACTACTTCATGTGCAGTTTAAAGTCTCCTTATAATTGCTGAATAGCAATGTTTTTGTTACCTAAATCCGCTTGCCTCACTATCCAATTCTGATCCTCAATGCCCAAGGGTATAGAGAACATGGCAATCTGATGCCAATGGAAAACTACAAATGTTTGGCGCCATTTAACACTGAAAGGAATCCTTTCAATAGAAAGGCCTCTCTCCTCCCCCCTTATCTGTGAGGTGTGAAAATAGGTGTGTTGTATTAGAGAATAGCTTCCTCCTTTAGTTCTAATGAGCTGCTATGGCTGCATACAAAGCAGAGCCAAATTGCTTGGCATTTTGCATGTTTTGTATGGTTTTTTTTTATTTAGAAAATTTGTCACTACTGTTTCTGAGAAATACCATTGTTTTTTGCTAAACAGATGAGGATACTTGTGGCATTCTGTCAAGTAATATCCAGTCTGTGTTATTGACAGAAGAGAAAAAAAAATGTTCTCTGTGGATTTTAAAAAAGACTAAAGGGAAATAAAATGATTTAAAATGGGTTATACAGTATGATGGGTTAGACCAATCATTCTGTTAAAATTTGCATAGGGGAAGAATATTGTCTCCCTAAAGTTAAAGAACGTATTTGAGCAGGTTTTCTTTCATAAACTGTCAATCCAAGTGACCTGGCTCCTTGAGTCACTTTTTGAGAGAAACCATGAGCTGGCTGATATGTAACTTTCTGTTTTTGTATTTTTCCATTAATATATTTAGAAAAAACCCCTCATCTTAATGGAACACCACTTCTTCTTTTTTGTTTGTCAGTTACAGTTAGTGTAAGTTAACTAAAGAGAGCTTCATATCGTCTATTGCTTCATATGTCGCCTTTTATTCTGCTTGGTCGTCTTGTTGGCAGTACTGTAATTCTGCCTTGGCTAATCAGGATTGCTTTTTCATGGAACGCTACAGTAAATGCAAAGCACGGTTGTCTGTATAACTAAACTAAACTAACTTGGCCTGTGATACGGTAAATATTTCCTCTATATATTATGAATTTTATTTTTTATAGAATTTTAACAGTGATTTTTCCAATGGCTGTCACTTCTGTTCTGTCCAGTTAAGTGCCAGCGTCCTGAAATTTTCTATCAGAGCTCCCCACTCTAAAGATGAGGAATATCACTAGTGAAACCTTTCAAACCAACCTCTCAATTAGGGGAAGTTGAATCTACTACTCAGTGCTGGAGCAGCGCATGGGCAATAGCACAGTACAAATGTAACTGTACAGTTCCTTATAGATACTTTTTGTCTCTGTTTTTGCCAGTATGATAGTTACTGATTGTTAAGTATTTTCTGACGTCTGCATCTCTTTCTGTATCATACTGAGCAACTTAAAAGCTGATGAAGTTTGTGGTGAAAACAAAGCTTAATGCAACTTAATACAACTCTATGAAAGTATTGAATGTGTGGGCCCTTGCTATATCATGCTGCTTTCTATTAAGAGGAGAACATAATTAAAGGGGGCCTGAAAGCTAATGAAATCTTCTTTGTGCATCTGATCGTTAGTGACTTTGTGTGTTTGGATTCATATTTAAGTGGCATATTCTTTAAGGACTAATGATTTACACTTTGAGTGCTTGGGCTTTGCTTCTGTGCACTGCTGTGTGAGCCAAGTTTCCCTGTTAAAAATATTTTCTAGTTGCCTGTGTTACTATCGGTTACTTGCTGTTTGTTTACTTTCCAAATTATGTTCTGGCTTCCTTTAAAGAATACAAACTTGAAAAAGGGTTAATACCATATAAACCCTGAGATAAAACAGGACTCATTGTAAATGATTGAGTGCCATCTGTGCACTGAGCATCAGCCGTTGCTGGGACCTGTTTTTGACTCCACTGAACCTTTACTGGTTGTGGTTTGTCTGGCCATCACATGACTTCTCTGAAAATTCCCCCTCCCCTCCATTTCCAGTAAACTGTTTGAACAGGAGTGACTCAGAGTGAAACCAGCTTCCCTGTAACCACAGGGCCTGTTAAAGAATTTGTCAACGTGGACTCTAGAGGGTTTGCATTAAACTTCGCTGTAACTGCTTTGGTTTGTATTGCGTCAGGAGTTCCATAGAACAACTTCCTGCCTGAAGAGTATGTTGCTTGTCGGCAATGACTTAATCTGATGAACTCTAAGTTACTGGCCAGTAGACATGTGTTAAACCCATCTTTCTAGCATTTCTTCAAGGCTTTGTGCCTTGAGTTGGATTGCTTTTCCACACCTTAATGTAGAGTTTCTCGTTTCCAAAATAAGAGTGCAAAGTACACCACCACACCCAGCCATGGTTGCTTTGAGGACGGGAGCACTGTATGTTCTGACACGGCACTGTGACTTCACTCACATGGCATGAATAAGTCGAAATGTTATGTAATTACCAAAGTAGAGCTGGTCTGTGATTAAATTAAATTTTGATCTGTTTCTTGGGTAAAACAAAATTAACCATCATGTTCAGATATGACTTCTCTAAAAGGCTTCCTTGGTTGCCAGCTTGTTGGATTGAAAGGTTATTTTGTTGCCTTGGTTTTTTACAAGACATTTTTAGTGCTTAAAATAGTGCATGGGGAGTTGTAAAGAAAATGGAAGAGCAGCAAGAACAGTACAGTGGAAATCTTGACATTTTTCCTTCCCAGAAAGTATTTGTTTGGACCCAATTCCAAATGCCATTCTTCATCTTTCTTTTAGGCTTCCAATCGCCCCCTTCCCTCATCAGCTTCCTCTCTTTATTAATTGTGCTGTACAAGAAAGA